GGCATTTCTAACCATCTCTGTGAGCTTTCTAAGGCACGGATTACGTGATCAAAGGAGCTCAAGTTTGACTATTTCAGTTTAAACAATATTCTGCCATTACAACATCACAAAGGTTTTCCAGACTGTCTCCATGAATTTAATTACTTATAGCGACACATCCTTGCACACTTGGCTGCAGACAGGCTTCAGCAAGGTGGGGCCACACCTCTATTTTAAGCAAAAGTGAATGTGAGCAGGCTTAGCGAATTCAGACAACAGTCCATGGATGCCTGGGCAGGTATGTGGGATTTTCTGCTCTGTGCACCCTAAAACCTCCTCTTTTTCTTTAACTCCACAGACAAACTGCTGCTAAGAAAGGGACTTGGATTACAGAGGCATAAAAAGGGGGGGGGGTGGAGGTTTCTGCGTGGTGCATCCTCCTTGATCTTGCAGATGCAAAGAAAGGGTCACTTTCTAGGGTTACCAAGAGAGCTTCTATTATTTTACACAAACTTTGACACAAGTAGTCAATCATTTGGATTCATTAACTCCAAAAATTAGAGGAACAATGTGACAATGCTGCAAATGGATGTTCAGTTTGTTAGCAGACCTTTTTAACAACAAAAATCTAAGGACATTTTAGGACATGAAGAACATTTTTCCATGTCTCCCTCTGTGTCTGGTAGTCATTACTAAAGCCTTGTGAGAAAGCAGGATGATATACACCAGATCCTGACATTTGTCCCCCATCAATCGCTGAACCTACCAGCTGGTTGTAAATTCACCCGCTTAACGTCATGTCAAGGCTTTGGTTTGTTTCAAAGCATTTCTCTTGTCCTGATAGGGCTTGTTTTGCTGACCCATAACATGCAGGAATGCTTTTTTTAGCGATTAGTTTTTGTTGACAGTAAAGTGTGTACACACTTCGAGGCGGATTGCTATCATACTGCACTCCTTATCTGGCCGAGCTGTTCGAGTTGAAAGGAAATGTGTTTTAGCATGTTACTTTGTGTAAAAATTCTTCATCCAAAATTCTTCATCTGACATTTTTCTTCATCTGACATTTTATTGGTTCTTAACAGAACCAATAAAATGTCAGAGTGAAAGGAGCGGCTAGTATTAGAACATTATTTTACTAACTCTCCTAAATGATAGGAAAATGCTGGATGCAGCACTATAGGTTGACAGGTTATGCTATAGGTTGACAGGTTATGCTTGATGTTGGGAACTAATGCAAACAGTCTAATTATAAACCATTGGATGTGAAACTCTTTGCACACCAAATGGTTGTTAGGGAGACAAAGTAAAGTAAAAGCAAAAGGAAAAACCTGTTTCATATCACCTGAATATATAGAGAGTTTGCTATTGAAACTTAGTCTCTGATTAGCAGAGACTAAGATTGAGATTTCTGAAACAAGCTGTCCATGAAAGTCTAGAAAAAAATAAAAATGTGTGCAAAATCACTTCATGTGTGTTTTTATTTATGGTGGAGAATCCATAAAACTACGGATCAATTTTAGTCTTTTTTTTTTTACCTCTACTGAACAAAGGTACCCAAGTTGATGGCTAATATTTTCTAAGGTTTTACTGCTGGAAAATGTAGAACAACATTAAAATATACATTTATTTCAAGGATTTATATATTTTTTTTCAAATTTGTTTCTACATTGCAATTAGTTAAATTTTTAATAAAGTCGAAGTGCATGATGAAAACGTGTCCTGGTGATGGAGATGTGTTAACTATTTATTTCATACGCTGCCCTGCATTTGCCTTTGATTTTGTCAGTAGAAATGTCCCTGACGTCCATGAAAAGACGCTGTTTTCTTTTGCATTTTGAAAGAACATTTCCTATATCATCTTTATCAGCTGTATGATTAGAAAAATAAACTGAGTAATGTGTTAGGAGGATGACTGCTAAATAAAGAAAAAAACTGCTTTGCAGTTAGTTATGCTTTGATATAAAATGTTTATAGCTTTAATTTGTTTAACAGGATGAAACGTAATTTTCTGGATGAGAAAATGACTTCAATTCTGTCTGAAAGGATGCCTTAAAGTTGGTTCCCCTTAATGGTTAATAGGTTGTGACAATTGTTTACTTGTAAGTCGGGGAGTTACCCGTCAGTCTGCTTGCCAGGTTTTGTTTGCAGTGACCCGAGTGTCCTTCCGATTTGTAGAAGCCAATACTGCTGATTTTTGTTCTCTTACCCTTGAGTGGGAATAAAGGTCCACAGGTGATAAATATGAAATATAATTTGATGACATTTTTGGTCCTTAAAGCTCAAGTACAATTTGGGAAGAGTGTGGTTTCTTAGAAAATGACAAAAGGCTTATGGAAAAATAATTTCACGTTATCCTTTCGGATTGTTTTTTCGGGTTTTTTGGGGTTTTTTTTTTACATCAGATCCAGATAAGTATATATTTCACAAGATCCATGTAAGATATAATTAGATCTCATGAAATATAGACTAGAGATTAGGAATGAAATCCATGTCAATTAAAGGTGGAGTTTCCTATGGCTTTGGTGGATTTTAATAATAGCAGTGTTGTAACCAAGTTATTAAATTTCAGACAAGATCAAATCAGAGACTAGTGAGTACTAAAGAAAGGGTTAGAAAGATAAACGCACAGACCTTTGAGTTCTGTTAAATACTTGACATAATGCTAAAACTGCATGTGAATTTCGTTCCTTGATGATAAGATTGCTTTTAAAGAACACCAAAAATCTGAAGAAAATTTGAACAATCACTTTATTTCATCGGAAAATAAAGAAATAAACATTTCTTCTCTTCTTTGTTTTTATCATCTATAAATGGTTAGATCATCTCCAAAGTTATATATCAGAAAAAAGATATTCTAGGTAAATTCATGTGGCCATTTTCAACGTGATTTTTTGTGTTAAAGCAAAGGTCAGCCACAGTTAGAACAATTAGAATCTTTATCCACAAATGAAGAAAACATGGAACAGTTGGCAGCTCTACTAACATTTCTCCAACAGTGCATTATGTACCCAAAACATCTAAAGTACAGCAGGCCTCACTTGCCTCAGATGTTAACGGCTCAACTATAAAAAGGACACGAGGAAAAGGCTGCATTTATGGGATCGCTTCAAGGTGAAAACCACTGCTGACTAAGAACAACACAAGACTTGTTTGCTCAAAAAATAAGGTGTTTTATCTTTGAGTTGTCTTGTCAAACTCAGTATTCTTCCAACACAAATCATATAGCATCGTCCACCATTTTGACATACTGTGTAATTTTTAATATGGAAGGAATTGAATTTGTGCAGCTATATGTTTTAACACAATGGTAAAGGCTGTTCACACTGCTGGTTCTTTAGTGCTTTGCAGTAAACTTGGGAGCTCAAATACATCAGCCTCAGATGGCTACTAAATAAATCCCGGAAGCTCCATCTTTACTACCCTCATATACTATTGCTTAACAGATACATTCAGAGTTATTTGTGACACATTATTGTTTTATTTTAAATATAAAGCAACAGGAATAGGAAAGCAAACAGCTGCAATACAGCCAGATGAGAGATGAAACTATAAACAGCAATTCTGAATTACTTCAGGCAACATTTCCTGGAATCCCTCATGCAAACACTCTCAAAATCCCAACTTCAGCAAGTAATCTTCTTATTCTTGGAGCCGAATTTTTAAATCCTGATGTCACCACATCCCCGCAGTGTGCTGTTGCACTGCAAGTTTACAAGTGTGCATTTGTGGGAGTGGAGACCAATATATTAGCATGTTTTTAGAAGCAGCTTGTGAAAACTCCTAAGGGTGACAGCCATATCCGTTGCCTTTTTTTTCCTTCTCCTTTTTTAACTACTTGCATGTCAGAAAGCTGCACTGTGACAACAGCCTGTTGGTGTCTGATGGGGCTCAGCACATCAGCAGCTGGGAGTGTTTTTTTTATTATTATTATTATTATTTTATTTCCTGGGAGGATTCATGTGGCTGTGTTTCATCATTTCAGTTGCTGGTGGAGAACTTGAGGTGTTCCTTCTGCTCAGTGTGTGACCTTCCCTCTGGTGAGGGAGGGTTTCTACTTGCTGTTCTTGTGAACCTTTTTTATTATCAGTGACTGTCAGGCCTTGATTCACAGAGGCATGTGTCTGCACCTAATCAAGGGGAACTGGAATGTGCTCTTTAAGTTTTCTTCCTTCTTCTTCAACTTATCTTTCATTTAAAAAGCAGGTAGAAAAGCCACACTTAGTTTTGTTTGTACTTTTCTGAGGACGAAACTAGACGCTGAGAAATTTCGGTAGAAAACACTTTTTTGTTTTCACTGACTTTATGTTGAAACACATTAAAGATACTGAAAATACTCACACTACTTCCCTCAATAGAAACTTAGGATTCTCATTTTGATAACCACAAAGTTACTTAATAGAAGCTAAAACAAAATCTGCTTTGTTTGTTTTTTTTATTTATTTACCTGTCTCTTTTTTATGTCTTCTAACACAAATCCTTATCATGATTGAGTGACGTTCCTAGTGGAACCAGCTGTGATAATGTAATAACCACAATAACTCAAGAGTCAGAACAAGCAATTAAAAACAAAGCTCAGAAGCTCTAAATAAAAGGTCAAAGCGCAGACGTCCAGACCTTGAACTTCATTAAATATCTGACCTTTTATAATTTAAGATGTGCTGTGTGACTTCTTGCAGTTATCGTAGCTCATTGACTGCTCCAACTCTTGTCTGTTGTCATTCATTTCAGACTCTGCAGAGTTAATTACTCGTCTTCTTTTCTTTGTCAAGCCTGTCAATAACTAGATTTATTCCATCCATAACCGCATTAAAGCAGGATGTGATTGGGGGAGGGGAAGACCAAACAGATCCTGTAAATTCATTTACAAGTGTCTGATGGTAGCATCTGAATGATTAGCATACTTAAATCCCATTAACTTTCCCTCACACAGGACTCTTGTCTGTGGTTTTTACATTCTTAGTGTATTGTTGTTATTTTAATCACAGGCACAGCTTAAACAAAATCATCTGCCATTTTTACAGAGTTGAAGTCTACTGGTACTGCTCATCACTTCTCCTTCCTGCTCAACTCAACCGACTATCGGATACTGCGCATGGACGAGGACCACGACCGCATGTATGTGGGAAGCAAAGATTACATTCTTTCTCTGGATCTGCATGACATCAACAAGGAGCCACTCATTGTAAGAAAAGTTCCTGAGACACAAATAAAGTGGAAGGGAGCAGTTTGTGTCTGCAGCTTAACTACTCTTGGATTTTTCTTTTCCTGTCAGATCCACTGGCCCGTTGCATCCCAGAGGAAGACTGAGTGCATCTTGTCAGGGAAAGATACAAATGTGAGTAATTTAATTGAGTTAGATCTCGCTAAACTCTAAAATTATATTTCAACTTGGACAGGAATGCATATTTTTAGTTTTATTCCTTTAAGAATTGAACAAAAAAGGTTAACTTGCACTTTTTTGAAGACAAAAGAACACAGCAGATAGGTCTGGGATAAAGTCCTAGAGAAGTTCAGAACAGGGTTGGGATATAAAACAATTTCTAAATTATAAAGCTCACTCCATCCTCTGGTATGGCACAACTGCAGAGCTGGTTGAAGAAGAAAGTCTGTCCTATTTGTCAATAGTACAAATCTGGCAAGAAGAAAACTATTGTTTAAGAATCACAAGAAATGCAACTTTTTAGCCTACATGCAAAGCCTTGGTGTAAAACTACCAGAATACATTATCCTAAACAACCTGTCACCAAGCTATGGTGCTGGCATTATCATGCTGTGGGAATGTTTTTCTTCAACACAGAGTTAGAGGTGATGGTAAATTGAATACAGTGCAACCCTGTAAGAAACCTCAATCTGCAAAAGACTTGAAACAGGGATTGAGGTTCACTTTTCAACAAGGTCAAACACTAACTTTATTTTTTACAATGGCCCAGTCAAAGTCATACCAGCATCCAGTCGATCACAATACTTGAAAATAGATTTTCACATATATTCTCCATGTGGCTAAGTTTGAGCTGTTTAGCAAAGTAAAATTGGCAAAAAATTTCCAGTCGCTACATGAGCAGCGCTGGTGAAATTCAAGAGACTCGCCTGTAAATGAAGTCAAAGGGCCTTGAAAGTTTTGACTTTGAAGAACCTGAATATAAATCCATGTTTCACTCTGTTCAGGCTTTAGTGTACAAATTCTGATAACAATTTATAATTTCTAACTTAACAAAGTGTGTAAAATATTGAATTAACATGAAGGCTTTTACAAGGCTCTTACTCAGAAATAGAGAGGAAACGTGTATTATTTTTCTTTCTATAAATATTCCTCCTTATTGGAGCTGATAAAATTTAAAAGGTTTTCCCTTTAATTAATTTTTTATTTTATTTTTTTTATTCTCTTCTACCGTCTTAAAAGCACGACTCGGGTCATTAGGGGACATTTTTAAGCTCTTCCCAGCGTGCTCCTCACTATTATGCTCTTATTTACCGTCTTTGCATCCCTGATTGCTGATTGCGTACAGCTGCCACCAATTAAGCTCTTCCAGAGACTCAAAACCTGCAACATTTTGCCTTCTTCATTCTGACCATTTCTGCATGTCTTCTACATTTCTCATTGATGTTTTTAATGTCATCTTTTTCTCAATTTTCTCACCGCGCAGTAATTATTTTATCCTTTGTTGTCCAGACGAGCAGACAAAATGAACCGGCCAATGGAGGCGACAGTCCCGTCTGAAGTGTTAATAAGACTCAGACATCCAGACACAGCCACCGCCTGCGTAGCCCCCACAAGAGACGGAGGAAATCCGTACAAAGAAATCCCAGATCCATCTCTTTTGATTTGGTTCACACATTGCAGCACCCCACATCCTGAAGCACACGCATTCATGTTTTATCTGTGGTTAGTGTAAGGGTTTTGCACAAGCACAGAGCAACGTACGACGAGGTTTGCACTGAGCTGCTTTTCACCCAACTGATATGTGTGCTTGTAGCTTGCTGATTCTTGTTGCTAACTTGCATATTTGTGCACAAAAGCAGATCTTTGTCCATGGCAGGCCCTTAGCAGAAGACAGATGACAATTCAAGAACAATTCAGGGCAGGACATCGCGAGGTCAAAGGCAATAAGTCCCGCTGCGCTCGCTGTGGGGGAGTGCACAACCGAGAAGGGAATATTGTTGCACACAGGCCAACATGTGGAAACACACAGAAGCCCAGCCTTTTAAATGCCTGACTCGTGCATCTGTCGTTTGGCGACAATCTGCCAAAAATGGCTCATCCCGCTCAGCGGTTCTACAATTTCTTTTTGGTTTACTTTGTGCATCCTTTTTTTCCATCACCAGCTGTCACCACTGGAAAACATGATGGACAAATCTGAACATATCTCTTAATTTCAGTGACGGGAGCTGTGAGTTGTTGGCTGAAGCCAAGGAGACAGACAGCTGGTCATCCTAGAAGAGTAGAGCTGTGCTCAACAGTAGCAGCAGCAGCTCTTTGTCTTCACTACTAATATTTAAAAAAAGAAAAACATAAAATTATCTCAGAAAAATACCCTAACATCATAGACATTTTATATGTAAACCCACTATTTTTCTCTATGTGGTTGAAGCATAATGTTTTTCATTTGTCAAGTTTGAATTGTGCTTAACCTCAGTAATTTCAGGAAAATGCTCTTGACATCCCACAGGCACTGATTTTCCAGTCTGCATGCTTATACAATGTTTGGAAACATTTTCGCTCTTGCATTGTGGTCTGATATGAAGGAGCCAGAGAAGCAAAATGGAAGCCAGCCAACAGAAAAAGTAGATTCAGCTTCTCACGATCATTCATGAAGCTTTTTGTTTTCAGCATAAAAAATAAAAAAATAAAAATCCCAACATGTGTGTGGGGTGGTGCCACATGACTCAGTGGTAGAGCAGGAGCATCATATACAGAGGCTACAGTCCTAAACACAGCTTTCTGTGGTTCAACTCCCGGCTCCGGGCCTTTTGCTGCGTCTCATTTTATTCTTCCTGTTCGTTCGTTGCATAATGGCCACCTTCAAAAACTCCCAATTTGAAAAAACTAAGTGGATGTAAATATGATTTTGATGCACAATGGAGTTTGTGAGAAAAAAATGTATATACAGGGACGGCTGTGGCTCAGTGGGTAGAGAGGCCGTCATAAGGTTGTAGGTTAAATTCCAGCTTCCTTATGTTAGTGTGTCCCTTGACAAATCACTGATAGATCTGCATATTGATGTAGAAATGTGTGTGATTGGATAAACGTGGTTAAAGTGCTTCAAGTGGTCAGTATGAGTACAAAAGTACTATATTAATTTAGCCTTTTAATTTTTACGCTGTAATTTGGAATAAAATCAATATTAAGTAGCTGCAACCAGCACCATAATACCGTAATGCCCCAACTCAACAAAAAACAAAACAAATTAATAATTTCTTATCCCGTTGTGGAATAAGATTGGAAAACGAAGAGAAATGAAAAGAAAAAAGACAAATGTATCATTTTATCAAAAATATATTAAGATTAATCGTTTAGTTTTAGAGTTCTCAGTAGTTGTTTCACTACCAACAGCAGATATATTTATCTTTTTGTCTCATGCTTTTCTTGAAGACAATATTTTTCACAAAACTTAGGTGTTTTAATTATGTAAATTTTCCTAAAATGATCAAAGATATGAAAAGTTTAAAAAAATTTTTTACCTTATTTATTTATTTGAGCCCAAACTTTTTGCCTAATATCTAGGTCAACAGACCTAGATATAGAGAAGACATATTAGCTGAAAAATAAAAGATATAATATAAAACACACACCCAGCAAATAGACTGGTTTTTAACCACAAGTGGAAGCTATAAAGGGAAACAATCTGGGAAATTAAATATTATGTAGCTGAGTTTTTTTATTTTTTTATTTTATGTTTTGGCTTTTTAAGACCTGATCCTGATCTTGTTGATTTTGTTTTGCCCTTCCTCAGGGGGAGTGTGGGAACTTCATCCGTCTGATTGAGCCGTGGAACCGGACCCACTTGTATGTGTGTGGAACAGGAGCCTATAATCCCATCTGCACATACGTGGATCGAGGCCGTAGATCCCAGGTGACCAAAAGATGCATCCGACCGTAGAGACGTTTTGACCTTTACGCCCTCGTTTTTAAAAGATCCCTATCAGTCGATCAATCTGAGGTCAGAGTATCCCCGTTTAACCCCTCTGCCCATCAGTTTCTCGGGTTCTGCTTCTCCTCCATTATTTTTCCTCCTCTTAGCTTTCATTGATTTTCACCCTTCCACCGGCTCCTGGCTGGCCCTGTCCACATTCCCATTATCATTCCAAAATTGTTCTCAGTACGATTTCCAACTCCTACCGTTTGAAGCCTCTTTCCCCTGGGAATGTTGTGGTGTCACTTTATCTAGAAAATCCCCCCTTCTCAATGGGGGTCCGATGTCCCCCCCTGTCTCACCTGTTTACACACAGCACTGCCTGTGGCCTGTCTTTCTTTCTGTCTGGGTGAGAGCCTCTGAAAAGCCATCATTACTGATGGAGCTTCTCATCCATCATCAGGCTTGTAGATCCCCCCCCCCAACCCCCTCAGCCCTACCCCCACCTCCCCGGATCGCCATGCAGAGCTACAGCAGCTGCTGGCCGCGTTATAATCGGCACACTTACATTCATTCACCGCTGTTTAGTCTCCCTGTTCATTTGGAGGCTTCAGGTTTCGATGGAAAGGTCAGTCTGCCTCTTGTCATTCTGCTTCCCCCCTGAGGACCGAACATTGCTCTGCTTCACACGTTAAGGATTTTCCTCTGCAGGAGTAGATGTAAACATAAACACATCCTTCTTTGTGTCCCGCAGTGGGATTTCAATTATTTGTATTTTATTTTTAGCGTCTGTTCATGTTGCTCCAGAGTTGCCTGTATGGACTTTTGTTTGTATTGAAAGTTTAATTTTAACACTGGAATATTTGAATAGATTAAGGGTTTTTCTTAGTAATAAATTGCTATACAATAGCACTACACTGTGAAATAAATAGTTTATAATATGTATTTTTTATCTGTATTTTGTAGCAAAAATATATATTTTGCACTTTGTTCATTGTGAGTTAGTTTAGATTACATCCACTCATGAATGTTTCATCAATTTGGATCTTATTTAAACTTTTCACACAATAACTTTAAATCTAAAAACAAGAACTGGGAGCTTCAGTTTGAATATCTGTGGATTTTCTTAATCCATACAGCACATGTAGGCTTTTATGCAGCATATTTTATTTTATTTTATTTTCACAGAAAACAAAATGGTGGTCAGATGTCCATTCATTACATTTTTGGTTCATATTTTGACTGAAAATATTTACATTGGTTCGCTTTTCATTTCACTTTGTACATTTATTTACTGTTTTCTTCTTTTAGTTTTGCATGGTTTGTTTTCTCTGCACTCTTTTTTGCATGTATCTGAATCTAATTCAAACATGTCTCTCTTTAGCTCTTCATTCTGTCTACTTCTTCACTATTTATCTTTTCATTTTTCAGAGTTCTTCATGTTGTTGATTTCTCCAGTCCTGTTTCACATACATTCTTCTTTAGTCTCCATCATGATAGTCATCAGCTGAATCTGGACTGTGACAGGTTGCTAACAAGATGGCTAATTGTTTCTGCTTTTTAGGGTTTCAGCAACCTACAGGCACTTCAGTCAGGAGGGAGAACGAGTCGAGCAGCAGACTACAGCTCTACATCTGAGCCTTTGAGCCATAAGGTGGGCTGGTGGGGTTTTTTCCAGTAGTGGTGTCCACCTGGTGAATAATTGGGGTTAAAATTGCTTCAGGTTTATTACTGGTAGCATCAGTGAACAACAAAAATTATAAAATCTGAGGTTCTTTTTCATTTTTTTAATGATGATCTCATATAAATACACAAAGAAAATGGGGAAAACTCAAACTTTTCAGCACATCATAGATCATAAATCATTTTAATTAAAAGCATTTTGTTCAGATTTTTGTCTGCAGCAAATCCCATGTATATGAGAACCTTTGGCTATAATGATGTCCACAAAGCCGTACACTTGACATTTTTATTGGTTTGTGGAAATGTTCATGCTTTTCCCAGCATTTTTGTGCAGATTTTTTTGAATTACTCTTTCAAAAGATAATATCCAACTGCAGGTTACAAATACAACTTTGCCCCTGTCTGTGCTCTGCTGAACATTTGTTGTACCTGCTAGACAACATAAAAGCATGGGTGTTGACACAGATGTGAAAAACCTTCTCTTGCGCACAGGAATAATTGAAATTGGTTGGGGTAAGCAAACACTGGGTCTTGGATTGTCCCCAGCATTTTCCTGCTTCACTTCATATCCTTGATGCGTGTGCCTGTTTCTTCCTTCGCAGAGTGATTTGTTTTGGTTTTAAAGGGTTGCACAGTGCCTTAATGATCACAGTTTGCTTCCTTTACGAATCCTTACTTTATTTTTCCAAAGAATGTTAAGAAAATATTCCTCTGTGTTTCAGGAATACATTTTCCGTCTGGAACCTGGCAAAGTGGACTCTGGAAAAGGGAAATGTCCCTATGATCCTAAACTTAACAGCGTTTCCGCCCTGATCCGTGAGTTTATTCTTTTTCTGATTATTTTCTTTATGCATAAGGTAATTCAAAATGCCTTAAACATTAAGAGTATCAAAAATAACATTAGAATAAAAACAACAAACACTTTGGAACTTTAGAAGACAATTAAGGCATCTGATTAATAATAACATTATGATGTAATGTAATTGTGACACAAAGATATATAATTGTGTGTCATTAGACATGGCTGCTGATAACTGACCCCTCTGTGTGTGTCCATATGTATGTGTCAAAGAAAAAAAGAAAGAGCTTATGTTTGTCTGTGACCTTAGAAAACCTCACTGATACAACAAATATATCCCACTCTAAAATAACATTAATATAAGGTTTCTTCCCATTATGTCTGTGGGATCCCAGTGCACACAAAACTAATTAGGCATAGTTTTAACTTAATTGGAAATGAACACTGCTGTGCAAAATATCATCCGTCTTTTGGATGAAAATGGTTTTCAATGATATGAATTTGGCTCTGGAAGAGCTGTAGCATGAGTGTAGTTACAAAAGAATTCAACATGTTCAATACTGACATGTCACATACATTAGAATACAGTTTCATCATGCAAACTGCTGCCTTCCCTTTAATAGTGAAAGCAATGGGAATTTAGTGAAAATGTGTGTGGATGGCAAACAAGTTCATATTACTAGTGCTAAACAACATGTTGTGTGTCATTTGACCTGTGAGTATTTCCTGGTATCCTAATTCTTTCTTCCTCTCTTTTCCCTTTGCTGTGACCGGCAGATGGAGAGCTCTATGCTGGAGTCTACGTGGATTTCATGGGAACAGACTCCGCCATCTTCCGTACTCTGGGGAAGCAGACAGCCATGAGGACCGATCAGTACAACTCCAGATGGTTAAATGGTAATGTCTCAGCTCACCGCTTGATCTGCATCTGCCTTTATTTCTCTTCCTTGTCTCTCGACAAACCATTTTGAATTTATTCATCAGGGATTTAGGAACACAGTCTGAGCATTTTACCAACCTCCATAATGCTGACATACACGTGTCATCTGAGCTTCCTGATCTTTTCCTCCTGCTCCACCTGACCAATGATTGTTTGAGTCATTAATAAAATCCTCTCAGATCCTGCGGATGCCTGCAGACTCGGCTGTAGTTGTTGGGGAATCCTGGAATGTCAATAACGACTGAGTTTTCTCCCTAATGAAGTACAACTGTTACAGTGATATTATTGCTGGTCTGCTGCTTTTTGGTTGATTTTTGCCAAATCAATAGCAGACTCCCCGTCTGTGTTGTTGGCTCCTAGTTTTTCCACTGACCCTGTTGCCCTGACAACAGTCCCCTGCTGGCAAGCCGGCGAATCAGGACACCTGAGTCCTGCTAATCAGCCGTTTTGAAATATCTCGGGTAACACCCTCCCCCACATAATGGGGATACTGGTTGCTCCCCTCCTTTCTCTGGCTTTTTGGTTTGTCCCTGTTTGGGATGCTGGTCTTTCACAGTGGGGAGGGGCTGTGTGTTGTGAGTCCTGTGGTGACCCAGAGAATCATTGCGACTGGGGGTGCGCTGTGATCCCACACATAGTGCAAAGACATTGATACCGAACTGAATCATAAATGATTCATGTTCCCTAAAATTAGGTTTTTGACTGTTAGGCCTTAAGGGACAAAGGTCTGCTGCTTCTTTTTTTTTTTTTGTTTTTTGTTTTTTTGGAGAATTATCATACAGGTGCAACTGCATGAATTAAAATGTCTTTGAAAAGTTAATTTACTCTCATGATTGAATTCTGTAGGATCTTATGGAGTCATTAAAAACAGAGTGATCATTTTCTGATCATTTTAGCTTGCAATTTTTTTCTTCCACCCAACTTTCCATCGGTATGTCTTGCAGATCTGATCTTAAATTTATTAAGGTAAATTTGTATTTTTCTTAGAAAAAAATAATATATTAGCTTGACTCATTTTATGAATATTGTACTGTTCACAAATTCATTCCTTATAGCATAAAATCTGTATAATTTGGTTGTTGATTTGGGGTAATCAAATATCCCAAAATTTGCAAGACATGACAGCAACCTTTATATTAAATTTAGATGAAAAACATATAAAACAACCCACTACAGGAAGGTCTGGACAAACAAATGAGCCAATTATCCTTTTTTTTGTTTTTTCCCTTCAGATCCAACTTTTGTCCATGCTCACTTGATCCCAGACAGCGCTGAAAAGAATGACGATAAACTCTACTTCTTCTTCCGCGAGAAAGCCTCTGAGGTGGGCCAGAGTCCCATGACGCAGTCCAGGATAGGTCGGATCTGCTTGGTGAGTTATCACACAGGTCCGAAACCACAAGTTGATAATCACTTTAAATAAATCGAAGGACTTGGGCCTGTTGTCATTTATTTTGTCCTCCTTTGAGGGTGGCCATCCAGTATATTCTGCAATAATTTTTAATACATGCTCTTCGTAGAAAAAAACCAAATAAATTACATAAATAGAGCAGCCTCCACAGTTATTGACAGCTCTGGTAAAAACACACTGTGAGAGTTTATGGAACTTTAATAAAACATAAAACTATTTTAGTCTTTTTTTATAATTTTCGCCCCGGTGTACCAAATGTTGACAGAGGTGCCATGTGTTTAAATTTTTTAGGTAACTGTTTATTGTCAGATATAAAAATATTGCTATTGTTATTTATCTTGCCTGGTGACAGTTTTGAATGTTTTGTATTATTCGCACAAATAAGATGACATGAGTAATTTGCTCAGTGAGCTTTAAATCATTAGAAAGAAGGATTTTTTAAAATTTGTCTTCATAACTCAAGGTAAAAGTTGAAACAATGTGTCTTTTTAATCCTCACAAATTATCCAAGCTGAGCTGAGATTTATTTCCCGACTCCTTTTTCTCAGGACTTTATGCTTCACCTCAGTAGCACAAGCAGCAGCTGGCTGACCCCTTGTTCAGACAGATGATGGTGACCATTATTCATGCTAACTTTGGTTAACAGCTGTTTCAGACACCTGCTAGACAGACACTGTTGGAGTCGACCTGACGAGTGACTTTGGATGTTTGTTTGGATATGATTCCTGCAGAACGATGACGGCGGACATTGCTGTCTGGTCAACAAATGGAGCACCTTTCTGAAGGCTCGTCTCATCTGCTCTGTGCCTGGAGCCGATGGCATTGAGACGCACTTTGATGAACTCAGTGAGTCATATTCATTTTCACTTTTAAAGCTTTCTGTCATCTCTGACTCTCGTAGGTCCATCATCAGTTGTGTAATGCACCTGTTGGCCATTACGTCTTTTACGTCTTTTAGACCTATGAGCAAAGTCCCGCTTCATCTTCCTTACAAAGGACGAGTTGCAGCTCTGGCCACTTACAGATTGATTTCTCCAGCTCAGGGGACCTATAATGACTCTGCAGGGAGCCGGAGTGAACCGCATATTGAATGTCTCTGACCTCACAGGAGAACTAGCAGATGGAAAGGGACCATTTATAACCTCAACTTTCAAAATAAAGCTCTGCAGATGGACAGATTCAGAACCAACAACTTTATCATTTCTACAGTTTGCTTCACATTTGCTCTGCATAGTTCCAGAATGATGCTAATTCCCAGTTCCTCAGCCTGTTTCACAATGTTTCCATTTGGGGCTGATGATAACACCATATTGTTCAGAAGCTAAAAGTACTCTGCTAACCTCTTTTGTACAGCTAGGTGATGTAGGTTTAACTGAGGCTCAAACTTTTGGTTGACACGCCTTTAAGGTTCAACTGTCCTGTTTGCAGAACTCATTGATTCATTTATTTTAGTGGTTGGAGAAACTACATTTGCAGGAATTTGATCCTGGTTTTCATGCTGTAATAGTCCTACTCCAGGATTTCCCAGGAACTCCATTTCTCATAACTGATGCAAGCTGGATTAGTAAAATAAAAAAAATAAAAAAATCCAGTAAAATAACATCAGCTGACAGGAAGGTACACTTACAGTCTCTGCTATAGCTTTGCTTTGCCTCCAAGGCAATGGGCATGCCTTGAGTGCTTGTATTCAGAAATAGAAACATGATATATATATTTTTTATTGTCCCCTCTATGGGGCAAATTCAAACGTTCCATCAACAAGTTGAGGGTAATTAGGAAAAAAAATAAGAAATTGGACAGTAAAGGAAAATATGCAACATAAGATAAATAGTAATTAGGTTTTAATTATCTTAGATCATTCTAAAATAACGCATCATTTTAACGTGGAAGAAAAACCTGGGGCTACTTCACTGATACCCTTCAAATTGCTGTGCAGCCAAAGTAAACTTTACTAATTAGCAAAAATTAGTCCACGTTAATCTCAGTATAAATACACCCATTCTATGAGATAATTAAAAAAACAGCATAATAAAGACCCAGCAGGTCCATGGTGACTGTGGAGGAGCTGCAGAAATTCTCGATTCAGGTGGGAGAATCTGTCATCTAGACAACTGCAGGGTTAGTTGCGTTTCCACAAATCTGCCCTTTCTGGAAGAGTGGCAAGACCAAAGTAATTCTTGAAGAAAGTAAAAAGAAAAAAAAAATATTAAAAAAAAATATATATATATGTATATATATTCAGATTTTTACAGGCTACAAACACGTTCTGATAAGATGAGACCAAACTTAAATTTTCTGCTCTATGTGGGAAAATCGCACCACAAACAGCAACAAACAGGAAGAACTGTGAGTACAGCGAAAGGTTGATCTGCAAGGTATCCACTCAGTGGGAGTGAACATCCAAACCACACTTTACTGATTTGTATTTAGCAAATATTTTAAAAACCTTTTCACTCATTTCATCTTCCTTTCATTTCAGTTTCATGCCCTGCTCATGTCAGTCTAGCACATAATTCCCAGTGGTTGTAATGTGAAGAAGTTTAAATAGTATTACAACTTTTGTATTTAAACTGACAAGTTACCATCAGGCAGATGTAATAACAATCAGAAACAGTTTCTAAATAGCTGAGAATTGAATATTTAGTAGCATCTCATACTCGTGCTGTAATGGTGTTCTACAGATGTTCTTTATGCAGTGAGAGAACTCTGTGTGACAGAAAGCACTTTGGTGTCAGTGTTACTGTAGTTTTAGTGGTGCAGCTTGGCGGTTGCAGCCTACAAGCAGATCAGCACTCGCGGTGAGGTTAATGTGCGTCCTGAGGTGCAGCGTAACAGCCCACAGCACCACGGCCATTTTTACCACAAACCACAGTCGGTCTGGGAGAAATGTATTGCTGGTCCCGATTGGAGCCCAGCAGAGGCATCGAAGTGCTTAGATGAGGACTCAGGGGGGGGACAGAGTGGGGCGAGGTTTACCAGATGAGAACGGATTCAGTGTTTTGCCAGAGGAAATGACGACTGCTAAGAGACAGAAAAACAAGCAGATGCAAAGGAGATGAAAATGTTTGCTGGAGAAAAACAGGCATAAATTTATGGGACGTTAAGTTTTACACTCTTTTTTGTAACGTAACAATAACAGAAGCCTTATTTCCACATGTTTTGGATGTCAGAGCTGTGTGCAGAGCCCAACATTTCTTAATACTCATGTTGCGTTATAAATTAATTTCAGAAGGATATTTTAACACATTATACTACGTTTTCAAAAGGATGACATATAATTTTTTCTGAACTGATAATTACTCTCTTTTGTCCTCATGTAACACCTCTTCCAGTTCATCTCTTTGTATTAGTACGTTTCCAGTAATTAGTGATGTCTCCCAGCATGCATGCTGCTCACAGGGCCTCAAAGTCTCTGTCTCCTCTGACACATCAGAAACAAAAGTCAGAATGATGCAACTTGTTCCCAGTTATCTGCTGATTTATTTCTTTTCTCGCTTTCCATAGCCAGGGGCTCTGTCAGACTGGCGTCAGATGGGTTATGACTCTTTGCCTTGCTTGCCAAAAGTTAATTTTCGCTTTAGTGAGCAGACATTACCTGTCATTTCGTACCCTGGGATGTTGGCATAGTTTTTCGTTTCACAAACGATTTCAAACATTTGATCAAAGGAGCGCTTGTTTATCTTGAAAACTGTGCACAAAATATTTTCTCATGCAAACAATTTGAATTTATTCTCCTTGTTTATTGAATCTTTGCTGATTAAAGGCATATGGATTAAGTTTCAGTCAGTTATAAAATACATTCGGGTTATTTGAGATATGTTTGTTTTTTTCTGCTTGGGGAAAAATCTTGAATCTTTAGTCATTCCAATCCCCTGAAAAACAAAACCATTTATAAACGGGAGACTAGCGTTTTCCTTGTTTCCAATGTAATGGCGTTTTTTATTAACTGAAAACTACCAGTTAATAAAACCCACAACAATTTTGTTGTGGGGTTTTTTTAAGCTGAACTCTTCCCTCTAAAGCAAAACAATAAATGAACTGGTGTGTGCATAGCCTGTCTACTTTAAATGTCACTTTTTCTCTGCTTTGTTATTTCTTGCTCTTTTCGCTCATGAAAACATTAGAGGATACACACTGCACACCGTTGCCATGGCCCCACAGTCCCTGTATTGCATATGGCTCCTATTAAAGTCATGTTTCAGCAGACATCTCCGTTTCACTCCTATTCCCCACTGAGACCAGAGCAGCGCAGCTCCAGGTTTGGAAGAGTTTAGATTCAGGATCTTGCTGAGACTTTGGAAACCACAATTCATGGGGAGCTCATTCTTAACAAACCCCCCTCAAAGGAAGCAAAATGTCTCCATATGTCACAATTAGGATTTCTTGGGTTGGAAGTGATCTTAAAGTCTCAAGATCATTTAATATGAGACACTAATATTTTCCTTTCAAATGCTTTCTGCGAAAGAAATGTCTGACCTTGTTTAATTTGAATTTGAAAGCAGTTCAATTCAGTCCGGCACAAACCCCATTAGCGACCTACATTTGTGCTTGCAGATCGAAATCATATTTGGAACTATGAATACTTATCGTGAATTAATAACTTTTCATAATTTAAGGATGTGACTAATTAATGTATAATTCATGTGACTGTCTACAGGGGATGTGTATATCCAACCAACCCAAGACACGAGGAACCCAGTCATCTATGGAGTTTTCTCAGTTTCAGGGTGAGTAATGGCTTTTTTTAAACTCTAATTTCAGTGTGAATGTTAGGTGTGTTTCAATGTCTGTCAGGAGTACGTGCTCATTTTTGCTCAGCCGCAAGGCGTGTCCTCTTTGTAATGTTATGAATCTGTATTGGTTTGTAAGAATCCGCCTACAAGTAGGAGACAGAAAAGTGAATGTTCAGCCCAGAGGGAGACGCCGTCCTCTGAGAGTTTGATAGCAGGTTGTCAGTCACTGAAGGTGGACAATGTTGTTGGGTTTTATAGATTATAGACCCATACATTTACTATAAGATCTCCAAGAGGCTGCAAACATTTCTAAATTCATTCAGCAAGTTAGATAACAATAGTTGAAAGCTCAAAAGGATAAAATTAAGCGTCATTGCTTCTTGTCTTTTTAGAGTCTTACTCTCAATAACTCTCTTGCTGTCTCAAGAATTCAAACATTTTGTAATTTTAAAAATTACAATTTCCTTTTAATTCTCTTTGAACAACTCTTTGCTTCTTCTGATTTAATTTTTATCACCTTAATGATGACAAAAATGACCAATTTGGAGCTTTTTGTCTTCAGTGACAACAAACACACTAATCGTTTAAAGATCTCACAGTGCTTGCTATGATCCATTCACTGACAGTTTTCCAGATTTTTCAGTTTTTGACTAATAAAACAAAGTCCAATTTTATTCAGTTGCCAGTTTCCCAGTGCTTCTCTAATTTTCTGCTGACCTGACATATTGAATGTATCATATATGTCAGTATTGTTTATGTGACATTTAACAGTGAACACTTAATGCATGAAAAAAAGCTTTGGCCACCTCTATCCACTTCTTGGTAATCTATATAGGCAAAATGGTATAATGTCTAATCCTATATAATGGTGCAATGTCTGTGTAAACCTTTCAGGGATTAGTTAATAGTTAGTTATAGTCGGATCAAAACTAAGTTTCTTAATTGTTCCAGTAGTTGTTTCTAACATAGGTAAGATACTGACTACTCATTCATTACCTCACTTCCAAAAATACACACTAACTCTTTAAGATCTGTAAACTGAGATTCTGTCAGCACACAGGTCAAGAAAAGTGTTCACAAAGTCATAATAAATGCATTTTGATTAATGTGTTGGAGAAAGAAATACTGTTATTGTTGCAATCGCCATTATAGCCATTGAGAACATTTAAGCCCAACTGATAGACGCACATGTGGTGCTAATGATAGGGGCTCATGACACAAGCTACAAACATACCACACTGCTCTGCAGCGGTGAGAGCCTGTATTCTGGCGATTTCTTTGGGATACGTGGGAGTTTGTATGTCAGTATGTCAGACAACTTGTCTCTGCCTGAGTCAGTCTGAGTGTTTGTGCATCGTGATGTTTCAGCAAGTTCCTGCAAACAGAGGCAGACTGAATTTGTGGAAGGAAGTCAGACTGAGAAGCCACAGAGATACCTTGTAGTAATTACCTCGGGGTGTGAGTTAATGTGGATGCTGTCTTGATAATATCTTTGCAATAACTTGTGCTAATCTGTTCTCCTGCAGATCCGTGTTCAAAGGCTCAGCGGTGTGCGTCTACTCCATGGCCGACATCCGTATGGTCTTCAATGGGCCGTTTGCCCACAAAGAAGGGCCCAACTACCAGTGGGTGGCGTACACTGGGAAAATTCCCTACCCTCGACCTGGCACTGTGAGTTCAAAAATAAAGAAAATCAATGTTCATGATATAAACCGCACTCATGGGGAAATGAAGCAAATGTCAGAGGAGCAGATTTGACATTAAAATGTTCCATCTGTCAATAGTGTCCTGGAGGTACTTTCACTCCCAACATGAAATCCACAAAGGATTACCCAGACGAGGTTATCAACTTCATGAGAAACCACCCCACCATGTACAACGCCGTTTACCCGGTGCACAAGCGCCCCCTGGTGGTCAGAACCAACGTGGACTACGAGTTCACCACAATTGCGGTCGACCAAGTGAGAGCAGCTGATGGGAGCTATGAGGTGCTCTTCCTGGGAACAGGTCAGCGCTGTGAGACCAGAACATAGAAATTCCTGTAAAGACACTTTGTTGAATGGAGTTTTGTGTTCATCATAAATATTTTCAATAAAGCAATTTTCAGTGGTAGGTTTTATAATATGAATTAATATTTTTGGTTCTTCAGATCGTGGTACGGTGCAGAAAGTCATCGTCTTGCCAAGAGACGACTTACAAACAGAGGAGCTGGTTCTGGAGGAGGTGGAGGTGTTCAAGGTCGGTCTAAAAAACTGATCCAAAAACTCCTTTTTTATTTGTCTGATTTTATATAAAGGCATTGGTCAGCCTTTTCCTGATCGATTTTGATTTTTAGTTTTCTTTGACATCTGACTGACTGAGACTTTTAATAGTCTTTTTTTTTAAGTCTACTAAATAGAGAATAATGCGCTGTAGATTATTTAAAGAGGGTATACAGCTGCTCATTTCTTTTTAACAGTGTGCTCTTTTTAAAAAACGTACATTATTATTTTGCAGATTTGTTCTTTATTATATAATCTCTTATTCTTTTCTTACTTTTCTATTTATAATTTACCAAGGTTTGGAAAAATTTGGCTAGAGATTTCCTACTATTTTACAAAATTTCTTCTATGATATGCTTTGACATGTTTGGCAAATTTTTTCTGGTTTTTTTTTTCTTACTTTGTGTTTATGTAAAAATGTAATCTGCCACTTCAGGTTCCCACCCCAATCACCACAATGAAGATTTCATCTAAACGGGTAAGTTACTGCTAGTTTCATTGATTTTGCTTTTGCTGGGACAGCTTAATCTGAGCCAGAGTATTTTATTCATCCAATTAACTTAGTGGGAGCTATCTATCAGATTTATTTAATTTCCAACATTATGTTCTGAACCATTAGAAACTTGACTTATGAAATAAATTTTAAATGTAAGAAAAAGACATTTTATTATAAAATGTGTTTCTGAAATGTTTTAATAACGCTCCAATACATGAATTGCAGAATGTATTTTTCATTATATTTTCATGTTTAAATTTATTGGTTAAATAAATTAAGGACCCATGCATATATTGTTCTAAGCATTCAAACAATCTATATTGTTGCCTTTACTTTTGTGTTTATTGAAACCTAATAGAACAGCTGTCCTAATTAGTTTTCAATAATATTGACTTCTGATGACGTTTGTGTCGTACTTGTACCCTTTGGTATATTACTATTGGTTATGCTGATACACTCAGTTCTTTTAATGTTTTGTGGATCAGAAGCCGAAAAGATTTTGAACCACTGATTAATTAAATTCAAACTACTACTTCTCACTAGTTCTGTTTTTGTGTTTGTTTTATAGCAACAGCTCTACGTTGGATCTGTCCTGGGTGTGACCCACCTGGCTCTGCACCGCTGTGATGTGTACGGCGAGGCCTGCGCCGACTGCTGCCTGGCCCGGGACCCGTACTGCGCCTGGGATGGCAAGTCCTGCTCCAGATACTCTGCCTCACAGAAAAGGTGAGACCAAGACAGCCGGGACGTTTACATCCACAGGCTCATATTATCTCTGTGGATTATTGCAGCACAGGATATTTAAAAACCGTGCTGATGCTAAGCTTTATTTTCGGCTGTTGATTCGATCTCCCAGACGGAGCCGTCGACAGGACGTAAAGTATGGAAACCCAATCCGCCAGTGTAGAGGTTACAACTCGAATGGTAAGTTTCTCTGTGGTACAAGATGGATTTGTGATGCAGTTTTCAGTACAAAAGCATTAAGCAACATCTTGCATGTTTCACAGCAAATAAGAATACGCTGGAGACAGTTCAGTACGGAGTGGAGGGAAGCACTACCTTCTTGGAGTGCCAGGCTCGTTCTCCTCATGTCTCTCTGAAGTGGCACCTGCAGAAGGAAAACAGCGACAGGAGGAAAGAGGTGATTATATAAGAAAGGAATTTGGCTCATTTTCTCACCTACATTTGTTCAGGTAGAATTTTTGTACTATTTCTTGACAAATGTGGACTCTTTGCAAAAAAATGTAAACAAAAGGAAAATATCACATTTTATTTTATATCTTGTACAACAGATGTTGACTGATGTCATAAAAATAGCGTCTGGATCTTTTAGATGTAAATAGTCTAATTTCAGCAATAGTACAAATTATTGCAATGTGAGATGGAAAACAAACACATTATATCAAAAACTACCCCCAGTGTAAAACATGGTGGTGACAGCATCAGGCTGTGGGGATGCGTTTCTTTGGCAGGAACAGACAAGCTGATCAGAGTTGACTGGAGCTAAAAACAATCCTGGAAGAAAACCTGTTAAAGGCTGCAAAAAGTTGGGGACTGAGGCAACAGGTCACAAAAACCAAAACATACAGTCAGAGGTGCAATAAAACACTTAAGATCAAAGCCTTATACCCATTTTTAAAAAACTGGGTATAAATTGATGTTCACATATGTTCTTTTTCCAATCTGACTGAACTAGAGCTATTTTCCACAGACGGACAAACATGTAAAAAATCTTGTAGATGTGCAAAGATGTGTAAAATCCCAATAAAATACATTTATATTCTAGTTATCAAGAATGCTTTTGGAAAGCATTGTATTCATTTACCTTTTAAACTGATATTTCGCCCTACTTTGTCCGTCTTTCCTTGAATTGTAAAACTTTCCTCCTTGTGCTCTCCAGATTCGCTCAGAGGGTCGCATCCTCAAAACCGATCAGGGCCTCCTAATTCGCTCGCTGCAGTCCTCCGACAGCGGCATCTACCACTGCACGTCCACTGAGAAGAACTTCAAGCACACCCTGGTGAAGCTGCAGCTAGTGGTCCTCTCCAGCCGCACAGTCAACAACGTCCTGGTGGATACAGGCAACCCGACCCTCCCACAAATTCAGTCCAGCGCCTGGACCCCGAGCGTTGGGCAATACAAGGACCTGCTGACCATCCTCAGCCAGCCCGAGATGGGGCTGATCAACCAGTACTGCAAGGACTACTGGCAGCACGGGGACGACGCCCTTGGGGAAGGCAAAGCTAAAAGCCTGAAGGAGCTGAAAGAGCAGAAGAAGCCTCGCAACCGCCGGCATCACGACGACCAGACGAATCCAGCTGAGACATGAAGAATTTAGGTTTTCAGCCTGTTGTGTTCAAACAGCACCATTTGTCTACCTTCTAGTTTCTCCTCACAACCCTCCATTTAAGGGAAATGACTCCATTTAACAGACCCTGCAACAGAAAGCATCATTTGTATGTCACTGTTGGAAGAACAAACACAATATTTATTGTAGGTTGTACAAAGTAATTCTTTATACCTATCTAGAAAACATGTTTTTGTGAATAGATCTGTGCAAATATTGTTATATTATTATTGTTATTATAATTATTAGTGTTATTGTTTATGACATTGTGTTATGTTGGGAATATCTGGTGTTTTTTTTGTTTTGTTTTTTTTTTAGTAGCAACTTTTACTCTGGACTTTAACTGTGTCCAGTCAAGGACTGGAGTGGATAAGCTTCCCATTTCTCTGCAACTATGTCGGATCATCTGACTGCTGGCAGTATGTAAATCCAGAATTACACCAGAAAAGCCTGGCATTTGTTAGGTAATCTCACCTGGACAGTCATTGCAAAGGTGGACATTATTGTACTGTAAATAAAGCAGGGAAAACGCCATTGATGGTGGTAGGAATGCTGACAAACTGCAGCTGCAACAGCACATCACAAACTCAAAGGAACATGAATTTTAAGCTCTTTCACAGAAGGTCGACGGACCTAAAGTGACGATTGCAAACTGCACCGTTCATATTCTTCCATGATTAGTTGCTGCCAAGTGTTTTATTTGTATGTAAGCATCACATCTCAGTGTTGTGTTCTCTGCATCTTGTTATAAGCTGTTTATCTTTGGAGGAATGGTCCTTTAATGAAACAGAAGTGGAAAACAGAACATTGCCTTCTATTCTCTCTCTGTGGAGATGAGTTATTCCAGCAGGCAGCTAAATGTGAGTCTGTGATTAAATATATACATATATATATACATACATATATACATGTATATACACACACACACACCACACATATTATATAATATATATATATATATATATAATATATATATATATATATATATATATAATATATATATATATATATATATATATATATATATATATATATATAATATATGTATATATATATATATATATATATATATATATATATAATATGTGTGTGTGTGTGTGTGTATTAGAGAAAGCACCTTTTGTTGCCAGATTGGTGATTTTTTTTTTTTTTATCTTAGAAAAAGTTTGTTTCTAAACCTACTAAACGCTCTATAAACTATAACGCTGTGGGAAAAGTATTTGCTCACTTTGTGATATTTTGTCACTTAGAGATTTCTGATCATCAATCAATTTTTAATATCTGTTACAAATCTAAGTAAATACAACATGCACTTTTCAAATGGTTGCTTCATTTATGGATTACTTTAGATAAAGTTAAAGAAAAATCCATCTAAACCCACCTGGCCTTTGATGAATATAATCAGTCTTTTACTTTTGTGTGGAGAAGATTCGGACATACTTTTTGTTTTTATTCAGTCCAGATTTGACAAGGATCTTCCCAAAAACGTCCTAATTTTTGAGTCTTTGAGAGATGAACTTGCTGGTGTCTATTGGATCATTGTTCAGTTGTACGTCTTGAGTGCTTGAGCTTAAGTTTTGAAAGGTTTTCTCCTAGAGAGTGAAACCTTCGATTCCATCAATTATAGAAAGGTTCTGAGATGTCCCAGATCTTTACACTGTTACCAATGTGTTCTGATGACTGTAGGATGTTCCTTTCTGAAATACAGTCACTTCGATTCCAAATGCAACAGGATTTCAGAACATTTGGCAGGGTCAGCAGTGTTTTCCTTGGCACTCTCCCATGGATGCAATATTGGCACAGTCTGTTTTTATTGAATGTTGAACATTGAAGTGAAGTTTGTAGTGATGATGATTTTTAAATGTTCTGGCCTACTTCAAAGTATTTAAACAAGTTCTTTTGTAATTTTTTATCCATACATAACTTTCACTAATCACAGTTTGGGTGTGACCAGGGAGACCAGGGATGTTGAACTCACCTGTCCAAAATATGTCAATTACACATTATTAAAGGGCATAGATCAATATTATTTTGTCACACAGAGCCAGCTTGTTTTGAATAGTTGCTTTCTCTTTACCTCTACAATATCCATAAATCCATTGTTCATTCTCGCTTGCTGTAGCGATATCCCCATCAGTCCAGGTTCACCCTGGACTGGTCACAATTATAGCATTACAGAGCAACACACAGGACTAACAACCATGCATTTATACCTAAAAGTAATTTAGAGAAACCCGTTTACCCAAGAGTCATGAAGAGTCTTAAACTACTCTTTGTAGTTTAAGAGTACCTGGAGAGAACCTCCACTTGCATAGGGAGAACAGAGACTGCAGGCCAGGAGTCTCCTAATAAACACAGGACCTTCTTGCTCCAAGGTAACAGTGCTATCAACCTCAACAAAATTGCTTAATGATCAGAAAAATGTAATACTTTTTCACAGCACTGTAGTTTCTTTTTTTTTCATTCCTTCCATTTTTATGTAAATATTGGTGAAATTAATGTAATCAGTCTATACAAGTGTGCAGATTTATAGTGCTATGATAACTGGTGCTGTACTTTATGTTCTTCTGCCGCTCTATTTGTACTGGTACAGAGCCATCTTTTATTACTGGTGCCACAGACTTCACACTAACTAATGAAATGAACACCTTTACACAGTAAACATCATGATAACTTGCCAAACCTGAAGAAAAAATTATACCACAGTCTTCAGACAGTGAATTTTAAATGTGCATGGCATGTACAGTGTATGTATGTAGTGTTTTGTCTAAAATGTTGATGTGGGTGTCTTTATTGTTGTGGAAGTTCAGATCCTTTTTGTTTTGCGAAATGCTGAAAGATCAGAAAGGTTGATTTCATCTTTGAGTTCTCCTTGTCAGAAATAAGACGTAGAGGAAGAAAATAGGTTTGCATATATTTCTACTATGGGAATCTGTTTTCTCTGAATAACTGGTCTGTGAGGTAATGTATGATAAGCACACTTTGTGGTAATGTAATGACTTGTAAAAACTACTATCTTTTCTTCCTCATCAATGTTGCTAACTAATAAATTAAAGCTCTATATTTTATAATAACAAGTGTTCTCCTTTGTTTAGTCTGCATGGTGATTTAGAGCAGCTAATATTTAATATTTATTCATAGTAAACTTTTTTCTGCATTAGCATAGCAATTAAAATACTTTCAATTATATTAACATTATGAACCACTCAAACCAATTATAACATCAATTAAAGGATAAATTCATGACGTTTAAATTGAATGATTTTTATCGAACATTTAAAAAAGAATCGGAACGTCTGTTTCTTAATATTAGGATTTATTTAGGATCAATTAAGACTAATCACAACTTTATTATAAATCAAATTACATGTATTTCATCATGATTACTTAACTGCATTTTGTGGACTTTCTGATTGCAATAATCATTACATTAGACATCAAATTACATTAGACCAAAAACAAACGTAGTGGCCAGTATTACCTTTTCAGCATCAGACCTAGACAAAATATTTCTAATTTTGGCAATATTCTAGAAGTGAAAGAAGGAATCTTTGAAACATTTTTAATATGGGATTTAAATGACATACCTTGGTTAAAAATAATACAGAGGTTATTTACTTCAGGAGTCAATTAAGGCACACGGTAGTTTTTTTTTTTTTTTTTTTTTTTTTCAAAGACTGTGGTCCAAGGATGATACTTTCTGAATTTAAAAATTGTAGTGGATAAAATTGCATCCAAACAGAATGGGGTCACAAATAGAAAATAACCTCAAAAGAAAAGCAAACACATTTAGAATCAAACTGCATCTACACCCAGTTACAGATGTTCTACATTTTGATCCTGTGTATGCTTTCTAATCCAGGCACTAGAGTTAACAAAATAATAACACTACTTTTCAGCTCCTGAGTGTGTCATTAAATATGATGCTGTGATCATGAATGTACACTCATACTGTATCTTCGTGCACACAGACCTGAAAGCGTGAGTAGATTAGGATCCTTAACCAGCTTCAGATTTAGGTCAATGAGATCTGTCTGGTGAAACTGCAAAGCTCTTTAAGCACTTCAGAACTCACCCTTCAGGCTGTTGGATCCAATAAGAATGTTTGGACCCATCTTTGCGTTTGTGTGTGCCTATGTCTCTGTATTTGGACTACAAGTTGATGGTCTTGACATGTATTTCCTGATTTTGTTTCGGTTCTAACAATATCGTCACATTAGACGATATTGTACAAATAAAACCACAATGGGTTTTCCATCAGATTTCTTTTTTTTTTTTTTTTTTGGTCACACCAGAGACTAAACTTAGTTTGGATAACAAGACATGAACCAAGTTCTTTTAGTTTTACAGGTTTCTCTTTTGAAAGAGCCTAAGAAGAGCATGAGATAAGCACTTGAGCCGATGTTCATCTTCCGCTGAGCACAGCAAAGTACCCTAAAGGTTAGAGCACACCTACAGAGATGTATGTCTGCTTCCCTTCACACCTCTGCCCTGTCCTTGTGCTCCATTGGCCACCACTGGTCAGGTGGGCTGAGGGAGCCCAAAATCCTTCCCTGTGATGGGAAAAAATACTCAAACAATCCCCAGCTGCCGGCAGTTGGCGCATCACCTGCGTGCTTGAAGGCACCGGTCAGACAGTAGGAGGCGAGCAGCCAACCGGGACCTGCTTCCATTTTTCCTGACACTTGGCTTTTGAAACAGAGGGGCCCAAGCCGGGAAAAGTAGGATGGGGGCCGGAGCTAGCGCCGAGGACAAACACTCCAGGGAGCTGGAGAAGAGGCTGAAGGAGGATGCAGACAAGGATGCAAGGACCGTCAAGCTGCTGCTGCTAGGTACAGACACACCTGTTGGATGAGTGATTTAGAAGCAATGATCTGGTCAGAACCATTCCCACACCTCAGATGGTTTTAGTGTGCTGTTTTAGTTGAGCTGTAATTCTCGACTGTATTTTATGGAAAGGTTTTGGTTAAAACTTTTCCCTAAAACAATTCCTGCCTTGACTTTCACAAACAATTTTAGTTCCTGTTTAACAGTCGTAAAAGCAACTGATGTCGGTTTATGCATTGCTGCAAATAACACACCCAATTCATTCCAGGACTGATTTTTTTTTTTCACTCCTGAAAGTGTGCATGAAAAGATGTAACATATCAAGTAAGAGCTCAATAAACTGTGTCACTGAATTGCTGAGACATTCAGATAATCATGCAAGGCAATCCCTATTAATCCTGACACAACAGGTTCTTCCACACAAAGGGCTTAACACTGAAGGACACTGACCCTGAATCAACAAACCAAAACAGAATTACAGCACCTTCATTTCACATCTTATGAATTTCAAATAAATGAGAGAAAGGAAGCATCTGTTGATGTCAGAGTTAGAGTTTATTCTATAAGCTAATAAAATACATAAATTACATACGGTCAAATGTAGTTGTGCTGCATGAAATAATTCAGAGTTGTAATATTTGTTGACAGTTTAAAGATTGCACCATTTGAAAATACTTAGTATACACGTAATAAACTTGTTTCAGACATTGTTTCATGCACTGCTTTATCCTCTCCTTATGGTGATACAGGTCAAGGTCAAGTAAAAAGATTAGGGCTGAAGTAAGAAGCATTATGCCTCACTTGTTGGAATCATCTTTTGGAGGACATAGTTCACCTGAGATGAACAGATGTTATTCCAACACCTTACAAACATAAATAAAAACACCAGTTGTGATGAACATGCTTAAAGCTTCATCAATGTCCAGTTTTTGGGAATGGATCTCCATGTAAGGTGTCTTCAAATCAAAGAAATTGTTGGGATACTCAGATAAAATAGTCAAAGAGATCTTCTAAAATTATTTCTTCTCTTTCTTAGGGGCTGGAGAATCAGGCAAGAGCACCATCGTCAAACAGATGAAGTAAGAACTTTGTATCTAAGCAGCATTTATTCCTACCTGCCCAAAGCTATATTCAATAGTAATGGTACACTTTGTCCACAGAATTATCCACAAAGATGGTTATTCGCTTGAAGAATGCTTGGAGTTCATCGTCATCATCTACAGCAACACCCTGCAGTCCATCATGGCAATCGTGAAGGCCATGAACACACTCAACATTAACTACGGCCACCCCGATCAACAGGTGACAACATACGTCCATGTAAATCTTAGGTCAAATGTTCTAAGTTAAAGTTATTGATGTGACTGTCCACCTGGGTCCTTCCTGCAGGACGATGCCAGGAAACTGATGCATCTTGCAGATACCATTGAGGAAGGAACCATGCCCAAAGAATTGTCAGACATCATTCTGCGTCTGTGGAAGGATTCTGGCATCCAGGCCTGCTTCGACAGGGCTTCAGAGTATCAACTCAACGATTCAGCTGGATAGTAAGCAACAACAAATTTAAACACTGCTCATGTAATCATAAAAATAAGTCCACTGACAGAGTTTAATTTTCAAACAGCTACCTCAATGACCTGGAGCGGCTGATCCAACCAGGCTATGTGCCCACCGAGCAGGATGTGCTGCGATCAAGAGTGAAAACTACTGGTATCATTGAGACTCAATTCTCCTTCAAAGATCTTAACTTCAGGTGAATCTACGAATTATTGCTCATTATTAGAAATTAGGAGTGATCGGGTGATCACACAGCAAATTGTCTTTTGTTTTGATCCAGAATGTTTGATGTGGGAGGCCAGAGGTCAGAGAGAAAGAAGTGGATTCATTGTTTCGAAGGTGTCACCTGTATCATCTTCATTGCTGCTCTGAGCGCCTACGACATGGTGTTGGTGGAGGATGATGAAGTGGTATGACAGAGTTGACCAATCCATCTCATAATTTATGGTAAGAAGTAAAAAACTGGGTCACTTAAAAGATTTTTTACTTTCAGAACCGAATGCACGAGAGTCTGCACTTGTTCAACAGCATCTGCAACCACCGCTACTTCGCCACCACTTCCATTGTACTCTTCCTGAACAAGAAGGATGTGTTCATTGAGAAGATCAAGAAAGCTCATCTCAGCATGTGCTTCCCTGAGTACGATGGTGAGATTTTCATAAACTACTTAGATGACAGTATCTTTGTGATCTAGCTATTCTAGTCTATTCTATTCCAGTAAGTTTAGCTCTTCACTTTGTTTGTGGATGTTAAAGTGGAAAAACAACACTTCCTCATTTCATTTCTTTTGCTTTTTCAGCCATTCATTTATCTTTTATATTTCCCTGTTGTCCTGCACAGGGCCCAATACTTATGAGGATGCTGGCAACTACATCAAAGTCCAGTTCCTGGACCTGAACTTGCGCCGAGATATAAAAGAAATCTACTCGCACATGACCTGTGCCACAGACACAGAAAACGTCAAGTTTGTGTTTGACGCTGTAACCGACATCATCATCAAAGAAAACCTGAAAGACTGCGGTCTCTTCTAAGAGCCCAGAGCAAACTAAATGAAGGTGAGCAAAGTTAAAAATCATGCAAATCTAACCGAAAGTAACTGTTCTCCTATCTAATACATGTGTTTCTATGTTATTTGGCAGGGTAGTGTCTTAGCCCTGTCACATTCAGATTCAAACAGGGGAATGAAGATGAAGACAGTCCAGTCAAAAAGTCATCCTCCAACCAGTGAATGCAAAAAGAAAAATAACATTTAATTTGCTGTGTTAAAAATTAAACTTGTAGCTTTGACCAAAGACTCCTTGTCACTGAGACATGAAAATGATCCCATGCAGATTTTAAGATGAGTTGAATTTTTTTTGTCAAACTTGTCTCATTAGCTCATCTTTGGAGAGAACTGCAATCTGTAGCTTTTGTCTGCATAAACTGATTTCTTTTCAGATGTACTCATGAATAGACGCAGTGTCTCCAAGCTCAAGTAATCAGACAGCATACAATTAAAGGGCTAACAAGATGGCCTCAACACCTGCATCTGCACTTCAGCATCAGTTAGACTTTAAGATGAATTGAAAAGGCTTTTTCTAATGATACAAAACAGCACAATTTGTAACACCAGAAGATGATAAATTGAACTTCTGAGAGAAGCATTAGATTTTTTTTGGTTTGTTTGTTTTATTGCAGTAGTTGAAAAAGGGCCATTGTACATAATTAATCAGATTTCTAATGGTGCATTGTAAGTCTGTTAATCTATAAACTGTTAAGCTAGATATTAATTTCACCACAATTTGAATCTCCCTGTCTAAAAGCATTTGAAACACTTATCTGTACTAAAATTCAGAGAAATATTTAAAAAATGTACAGATTTGATTAAATGTATTAAAGCTTCTGTAGAAAACTCAATGGTGTGTAATTTTTTTCCAGAACAAATGTCTTGTTTTTAATCACCTCTGGTTCCTAGAAATCCCTTTTGTGACTGACAGATTTAGATTAAAAAATAAGCAATTACCTTTGTTTTTATTTTTAATATTTGTTGTCTTGGATTGACAAATAATTTAGAGAAAAACTGCAAGTCCTAAAATGGTATAGCTTAGAACAGTATATATTTATTTCTAAATGTGTCCACGTCAAATTTATACATAAATATAAATTAAATTTTAAATTGAATTTAAAATTGGCGCAATTTCATGTTTTCCATTGATTCTTTGTTCTTTTGCAAAGCACAGATACAAATTTTAGTCTCTAGATGTGAAAAAATTAACATTTTCAGCATAAAAAGACATATCTCAGCATGTATCTATGCATTTATTTTTAATCAGATTGATTACCGCAACAGTGTCTGTACAAGTCAGTCAGCTGGAGCTGATTCAGAACGCTGCTGCTTTTGTTCTCACTAAAACCAGGAAAAGAGAGCACATCATCCCATTTCTGTAGCTACAGCACTTACTTTATAAATCCAAGAATGGCTTAGAACCAAAATATGGCATATTATTGTATAACTTTCCTGGTCCACTCAGGTCTTCTTGTTTAAATCTACTCTGCATCCCAGAATCAGAACCAAACACAGAGAAGCAGCATTCAAATGTGTGCTTCATTAATCTGGAACAAACTTCCATAAAACTGCAAATACTGCTGAACACAGAGTTCATTTTAATCAAGGCTGAAGAGCCATTTGTTTAGAGTTGCATTTGATTTGTAATAACTGGAACATTCTGGACTTTGTTTCATTTTCTGAGTTTGCAAGCACCTTAAGTTGCCTTGCTGTTGAAATGTGCTAGACAAGTAAATTTGAGGCATAATCAAAACAGAAAGTTGTAACTGGAAAAAAAAGGTGCTTCTCAAAAAATAACAATTGGATGCTTTATTTTTCTTGATTTCGATTTGAAAGAAATTTTAAAAACAAAACAGTTCCTTAAATTTTATTATGCGCTTCCTTGAGTTAGCCTCTAAAATACATTACAGCTTGTGGTTATGATATAAAATGCGATGAAAAAGGTGTATGAATAATTTTGCAAATCACTGCATCTGCATTTGCCTCCCACACAAAATTCACCAGAATGGGAAGTACACGTTTTCCAATTTTTCCAATACGTCAGTCGCCCTATGTTGTCTTGTTCTGAATGATCTTTGACCACTTCTGAGAAGTATATGTGATTGCATCACATCCTGAAGGAAAGCGTTAATAACGCAGACATATATGGAAAAGTTTCTACTTTAATCTGTGAGAAAAAGTGGAGTTAGGTTTAATCACAGCCACATCTGAACATGTGAGCCGTGATGCAGGTATCCGTCACAAATGCAGACAAAAGAACAAACCAAAGGAAGGCAGACCTAAAGAGAGACCGCACAGAATTACACAGCAACAGAAAGATGATTTCGATGTATCTAGTATTTAATACTTTTGTAAATTATATTGAGTCACTTTGCATAGAATTGCACCTCATTATTGTGAACAATATTTAATGTTGGAAACAATAATAAAATGGAAAATAGTAGGCAACATTGTAATTTTATTTCTTACAAAAGCATTCACTGACTTTTGCATTTTTAATAAACCCTGAGTTTTTAACCACATGACAGATATGAAGTGCACTAAAAGAAACAGCTTGAGTCTCTTCTGTACAAGTACAAATCATAAACAATGCAGCAGAATCATCATCAATATAAACTTAGAATTAAAAAAAAAAAACATTTTATGGCTTGTGATGGTTAAAAGAACCGCAGATGAACATGGAATGAAACATTTGTGCAATATCAAAAGTGGCAATAAAATATGACGTGAATAAAAAAATTTTTTCACGTCTAATATACACCACATAGCATCCAAAAATAGAAGGCACTTAAAGAGTCAGCCCTGATTCTCATTCTCATGGAGCATAGCGCCTCTATTTGCCCTTTCTAAGACATAGAGTCACTGAAAGTATGAAAGATAAACACTTGATTATCTAAATATTTTATTTTCTAAGTATTGTCAAACATGAGTCAAAGGCAAAAATGCAGCTTCCTCCCCAGACTTTCTGTCTCTGCCCTGATATGCATTAGCATTTTAGTAGAAATGGACCAAAAACTTGATTGGCAAGCAAAATAAGAATATTTTAGAGAACTGACTGGTGATTAGTCAAAAACCAGATTTGTTTCTGAGCTCTCCCGGTGTGTGCGGGCAATTACTGATTGAAGAAGTTTAACTATTATCTGTCAGAGGAAGCACAAAAGAAGTAAAGACCCCTTTCTAATCAAAGCATTTTGCATGACTTATTGAGACATGACTGCTGTTCATTCAGGCTATGAGGGAGAGCAGGAAGCTTGATCAGAGTACACCAAAGTTGCTCTGTTTGTCCCCTTTAGCTTTCAAACGTGTAATGAAACAAGTTACATTTAGCAATGTGTGCAGCCTTTCTGGAAATATAACAATTAAGATAAGAATCTATGGTCTCTATGGGAACACAGAGATTCCCCTTTCACATTGCCTTTTCTCTGAAAATAAATAATTTGTGATGTAACATAGCACAGTGTTGGAAAAATGACCATTGTTCTTATATATTTTAAAATCTCAAAGAGAAATTAGAATTGGCTAAAAATCTATATTAGTCTGCCATGAGACTGATTAGTGCATCTCTAGTTTTGGGATTTTTTTAATTGTGAGAAATAAAACCAGAGTATTGCAGTAATGCTGTTTGATTAAAAATATCTGCCATGAAAAGCAGCTCTTTTAACAATTGTATTTTATAGCCCTTATATAATAGCACTGATCTAATCAAGTGAATCAACTTAAAAAAGAGGCACAGATTCTCAGGTTTAGACATTGCCCTGCTCAAAGGTCAACATTTGTTTATAGGCTATGCACTGAATTAATTTGAGGTTAATGGCACTGATTTTATTATCAGATGCTTTTTTGTCAAGACTCTCAGCTCTGCTGTAGTTTCAATCAAAACACACATGTGCAAAGTTTACCCACAAGTACTTGACCAGATATCTCAGTTTGTCTAAAACCGTCTTCACCTCAGTTCAGTCAAAAACTAATGATCACAACTAATTTCCCTGACCTTTGACTTTAATACAGTCTAGTCTTCTCATGATTCGTTATTGTCCATTTCCTGTCTAGATCCAGATCTGAAAAATACATGGCAAGACTCTGAACTGAGGAAGTCCTCCTCTCCATATATGCATGTTCAACATGTATATATGTCAAAAAAAGTGTCCCCATCTGTCCTTTTTTGTCAAAACACTCCGACCATATGATCGATCTGCCTCATGTAGACACTCTTTAATGGCAGAGCATATCGACGCTCCTCTGGAATCCTGTTACACTGCAGAAATACGGAAAAAAGGGAATAAATACAGAGTTCTTTCACAATGTTTTATGTCAACAATTCATAGCTAAAAAAAAAAGATAACTTTAATTTATAGAGAATGGATGAATGGTCTGATGGCTGGGTGAAGAAAGACAAATGAGAACCAACATCTGTAAATACAAATATTCTACATACTTAATTTTCTTTTTCCATACTGATCCATGCCTGGAAAACGCTCCGGACACGTTTTATGTTTTTCCAGACTGCGAATGAACTCTGAGGCTAAATGTTTTTCTGGTCAAACTCATTGACCCAATTGAATTAATCGAGGATGATGATCTTACGTTGCTGATGTTGCTCGGAGGCGCCTGGTTGCTTGTTTCTGTTTCTGCCAGCGCTCCCTCTTCGCATGGAGACAAGTCGTTCCACTGCTTCTCCCTGAAGCGCTTGTCTATAGGCACAACATGACCTTCTGTAGTGAAGATATATTTGTTATCGGATTTGTGCAGTGGGTTGTCCTCATCAAATAGCTGAAATGCAGAGGAAAAGACAATAAAATTCCCCAACAAATCAATTTATATATTCAAAATAGTAGTATACACTGTTCATAATAGTAGAAGTAAAATATCCTCTTAGGTAATCAGATATAGAGTATTTTTTAAATAAATATATATATATATATGTAGTAGGATATGTAGAGCCTGATGTGTGTTAACACATGAAGTTTGCTTTTCATCAAACTTTAAAATGTGATTCAAAGGTTGCAAGTCTTGCATTTTAGCACAAGAGGTCACCAAATCCTACACTTTAGTCTTTAAAGTGCACTTCAGCTTTAGGAGACAAGAAAGTAAAATAAAATAAATGTTTGTTTCTGCATATCTAATGTCTCAAATTGAAAACTTACAAGATAAAGATATTTGCAGGTTTCACTGAGAAAAAAGCTCTCCATGCGATCCTCTTTGGATTTATCCACAACATGGTGGAGTGTGGCATATCCACATCTGCAGTGACAGTAACACACAGCAGTGAAGTGTGAAGTAAGTAAATACATATATTTTTATATGTATACATGTCCAAAATCAGTAACAACATAAATTCGTACCTGACTTTGGCATTTTTCTCAAGGCTCTGGAGAATATCCATTCCAACGTGCAGATAGAAAGGATTTTTTGTTGCCTGTGAGAAGAAAGTAAGAAAAATTACTCTCGATTGATAAAAAGCAACCTCCCACAAACAACTACTGCTGTCACCAAGTTATTACCTGGTACAGCAGGTAGGTCGACTCCACCAGCTCTGGTCTTAAAGGGTAAAATAACACGTCTGGAGCTTTGAGCTGCCAGTTGTATCTCTCTGGCAGCGCCCCAAAGCGCTTCCAGATGGCATAGTAGAAGGCATGCAGGCAAATGGCATCATCAATATCCCCGTTCAGTACCTATGAGTTACATAAATTCTTATTTTAGTTCATTGGAACAAAAAATAGATTATATTTATGTCAGAGGAAAATTTTTAAAAAAGGAAACACCTGCAGCCCAGGAAAGAAGGCCTGAAGGGAGTCGATCCACGTGTTCATAATCTCACCATTAAACATGTTCACATTAACATAGAGAGGCGGGTCACCCTCACCTTCATTGCAAGACTCACGCCTGAAGGAGAACAACAAAGGGAAAAGGTTTCACATAATTCAGTCATACAACATTCCTCTCCACATTAAAAAAATAAATAAAAAACATAAACACACAGTGACTTTCTAGAGTACGATGACTTTTTAAAATATTTTCTCACATTAAAACCAACATTAAGACCGACAAGAAGCAGAGCAGAGCTGTAAAGTGGAAGGAAATGTATTCATTTTTTTAACCTGTTTTTGTGCGTGTATTTCTTCCAGCAGCAATGGGGAAGCTACTGGAAGAAAATTATTAGCCTAATAACAAACTCAAAACTTTAGAGTTGCAACTTGACACAATGTAGAAAAGTTCATAAAGTTTGAATACTTCATCAAAGTAATGCATATAAAACATGACTACGCTGTAAACATTTCTCAGTTTTAATTCCTCTTTTTGGTTGATCCCAGACAGACACAGATCCTGTTGCACTTGGGGGGAGAAAATATAACGAAGGCGAAAAAGAAATCCGGGTTTTTTTCTTTTAACACATAAAACTAAAAAGTCAGACAGATTTATTTTATTTTTAGCCACAAATCAACCGTCAAAATCAGCTTAGAATGACAAATGTCATGGCAGAAAAAAACTTTATGAAAGTTTATGAAAGCTGCAACCAAACAGGACTTTCAACAATTTGAAAAATGAACAAACTCAATCTCTCAAATGTTTTTCTGTTTGGGTCTCACCCTCTTCTCAGGTGGTTCTGAATGCTCTCATAAGCAGCTTTAAACATCCGGTAATCCTCTTTCTCACCAAATAGGATGTAGGATTTAAGCAAATACTCATAAAAAGAGTCCATTCCAGCTCCAAGCCCACTCTGCTTGCCAACCCACTGGCCTGTTTGGATATTAATGACATTTCCTGCAAAAAAAATAAATCAAAGAGGGATGTTTGCACCTTTGGCAATGGCAGGCGAGAACCAAGTATTGAAAAGAAAAGAAAACCAATAGGAAAAGTGAAATTAAAACTCCTCCTCCTCAACTTACCCAACAGACCAGTTTCATTGCTTCTCAGATTCCACAGAGCTCTGACGGCTCGTCTGGCCACCCATTCAAACGTTGAATCCCCAATAAGGCGACTCAGAATGCCAAACTCCACCAGCAGGGACCCGGCTCCTGCGGTGCACGTCTCATTGACGCTGTCCTGAGGGACTCCCGTCTTCAGGTTCACCTGCATGCAGGACACAGACAAACAATCAGCCCTGATTGTTTGTCTGTGTCCTCATTCCTCTTCCTCTTCACGGAAGAGGAATGATTTACTTTGTAATCAAAGAGTGATCTCTCTCACCCTGGGGTATGGGATGCCTGTGCTGGTGTTCTCAAAAGCAGGCAGCAAGCGCACAGCCAGGTCATGAGCCAGATGCAGAAGTTCATTATCGTAATCTTTGAAGCCCACCTCTCCGAATGGGTGCTTGGAGTCAGTCAGGAGAATGTGTGCTGAGATAAGGCTTCCAAGGATCCTTCAAAGATTAAAAATAGAGCTAAGAGACGCCTTTAACACCGTAGCTGCAAAATTATATCAGTCTTACAAAGAAGCTGCACATTTCTCAGTAAATATATAGTTTGCTGACCAGCATCACACCGACTGACCAGCCCTGACCAGTATTAATAAATATACTGTATATACCCATAAAGATAAATGTCATTAATATTTGCAGAATGAATGTGATCAGATTGCTGTTTTTGCTATAATGTGTTAATTTTACAGTCATTTTTTGTTTTTGTTTGAAAATGACAGGAAAACCCCAGTTTACAGCTTGTACTCGGGCCCTTATTTATGACATTCTTCCTCTACTTCTAATGTAGATAATTAACTGCTACTCATACCAAGCTCAATAGAAAATATTAAACACTGTCCTTGTAACGATAAAGCATAGTTCTTGAAGACAAATTGGAACTGAGTAAAATTAGTCAAAGCTTTATAACTGAAAACTGGACAAAACATGTTGAGCAGAATAGAAAAGAATGACCCGATCAGCTCGTAAGATCCTGTGTGTGATAATTTGAGATAATTGCTCTATGCATTAGCGAGCACCTAAAAAACTTCATATTTGCGATTCTAAACTGCAGTGAGAGGAAAGCTTTAAAATTGATCACAAGCTGGAGAGTTTTTGGACATGTTTACAGTAATGTTTGTACCTGATGTTAGCCTCGAAGACTTGCACAGTTGAGTTCTTGTCAAAAGACACGGTATCTATAACCAGTCTGACGGCTCTCTGGAACTCTGTCACATTGCCGAGCACCTGGTGAAACAAGACACCCACTTTAACCACAGCGCATTCATGTTATCTTTCTGGTTTGTTTAAGATTGTGAATGCTGCTGCAGCTGGGTGAAAGGAAAGCCCCCAATTACCAACCTTTAGGCTGACATACTAACACATAACTAATTAAAAAACTGGTCATTTTGAGAGCAGTAGGTGACCCACAACTTATTCAGGAAGTGTTAACCATCATGGCGCAGAACATACTAATTGTGACTAGCAATGTGTGTAAAAAGTAATTTTCTATGCAAAAAGACCAGAAAGAGTTCTGATTTACATCCCAGTTTTGTATTTTCATATATTGTCTTTTCTGCTGCATAAGATCAAAACCTCTACCATCTCCTCAAGGAGATTTTCTGCGATAAACAATACAAAAACCAAGTGGAAGCTAACTTACCAGCAGAGTGTCTAAGGTGTCAATGAGTGTGAGTGAATAGTTCCCCAAAACGTCGTTGATGTTGATGTTCGACCTAGAACAAGAACAGGTAAAAGTGGGAAAGCTTTCTTATGACACCACAGAACAGAAAGTACTTTTTGCTGAGCAGTTTTGATGGTTAAACATAATCTAATGTTAGTGGAAGACATCTAATCGGTCTTATCGGGTCTCCAAAGTTACAGTTTGCTTCATCTTGGAAAACACGCAGCTGATTTGGAAACAAAAGGATCTTGCTATTAAAACGGATTAGTATTTTTATCTTCATTTCAGCTGCAACTTGTCTCTAATGATATTGCTTTCATTCTAATGTCACTCTCTAATGTCACTCTCTAATGTAATCTGGCCTACACTTGGTTCAAAACAACATTGAGAAGTTTTTGTAAAACTGTTCATTAAACACATATATGTATGGATTTATTTAGTAGATTATTTTAACTTTGTACAACACAGTCCATACTTTTCATAGAAGTTAAAAGACAGTAAAGGAATCTTTTCTTAACTGAAACAAATATAACTCAAATATAACTTATTTCGACATTTATTTTCTAATATTTAAAAATAACTGCAATTAATGTGAGCTTCATTGTTGTATAAAACACTTTTATACAACAATAAATTATGAGCTTAAAGTTACATTTGTCTGAAAATAGAAATCTGTGAAACTCAAATATATTGTTTTAGGAACGCCTACCAGTCAGTTTGTCTCAAATAACAGATTCAGGAATAAAAAATGTTCCTTCATTTCATATTTGATATGTGTGATGCTCTTCTTTCTTTTTTTTCTTTTTTTGCTTCCAGAATTACTATTGTCTGTCCACTTTATTGCCTGAATCTCTGGGGGCCTGTTTTACTGTCTGTTTTGCCTTTTAATTCAATATATTCAATTGTCCAACAAGAGAAGTTCCATTCTGCTTGTCAGCATTTGTAGAGCAAATCTGGTTGGAAACTGTTAGGCACCCAGATGCACCGTATTGTCTACTTTGGATGTTAAACCAGGATTAACAAAAACAAAATAAGTTTAAAATATTTCATCTGAAAGTCTTTTTCTAGGCTGCCATATGGAGGACTCTGGGTGGACAAAATGAACAAACTCGCTGTAGCTAGGATTCTGATAATATAGGATGAAATTTATATATATTTTGCTGTGTGTATAAATAAAATAGAGGCAATATACATTTAAAACCTGCCATGTGTTCTGCTGAGCTTTGGATTAAGACATTTTCAGTGTCTCCCAGTCCTGACTCAGGCATCACGTTAATCTCATGTCTAACAAGTTTTTCTGCCTTAACCTACCTAAATGTGCAAGCTTCAACATAAAATGATCACAAGCTGCTGAGGTAACCCATGCCTTTGAGTCAGGTATGAAACACCTGAGACATGCAGGTTAGTGTCCTCACTCACTCGGCCCGAGTTGGGAAACACTGGATCAGTCAGTGAATGTCGTGTGTGAACCGTGACCTTCTTGTTGTCTGGGCCAGCTGATTTGCTTACAAACTACCAATTTAAATCTTAGCTTATTTAAAATGACAGAGAGTGACTCACGGGTTCATCACGTCTGGACCTCTTCCCTCACAATCAATGGGGTTCAGCTCGTCCTCTGGAAAGGCATATTTCATGTAGTTCTCGTATCCGAAGTAGAACATTTCTTTGGCCATGTCTTTCATTTTCACCCTCAGTGTGTCAGGAAAGGACCTGTACCTCCGGACATACTCATCCTTGTTGCCATCGAAGAGGTTCAGGTAGGACCTCCCGGTGGAATCCTCCCCGATCTTTGCGCAGGTGGTCGCCGTCTCGTCATACCTGTGACCCGGGATTCTTTGGGACCAAGAGCTAGCGCCCGGGTCGGCTTCCTTTTCCTCCCGGAACAGCAAATCCAATTTGTGCAAATTAAAACCGAGGTGGAAGTTGAACCCGGAGCTAATCTCAGGTCCCAGCCCGAAAGCTAGCCACAGAACCCAGCTTACAGAGAGTCTCAGGACCACCAGACCCACTACTATTGACCTCCATTGCATCTTTGCCCCAGGTCGGTCTTAAAGTACATAATCCAAGTCCTCATTACCTCCGAGGTGAATCTGAACACGAAAACCGCTGTTTGTCAGTCTAAACTACAGGCACGGAGGCTCGTACGGTGGGAATTCCTCCTCACACACTTCCTGTCAACAAACCAGCCCATCCCAAATCCGGTGATGCGATTGGCTAATCGTTCTCGTCATTATTCATTTTGAAAGGCGGGCTCACTGCTGATTGGCTGATGGCAAGCTGTCAATTCTCCTGTTGAGTTTCGTGGCACTCTGGTGTAACGCACCAATAAAAATGAGCCACAAGACTGAAACTGTCAAAAGGCGAAACCTTATTTGTTTATATCTAAATGTAAAAGGACTGAACGTTAGACAATTTTGCAAACTAAATGGTGCTTCACTGTTATGTCAATCAGCACGGTTAAAAACAAACTGTGTATATGGGCCACCCAATAAATGAGTAAATTATTATACTCACAATTAATATACAATATATTCATTTTCATTAATATTCATATGTACTTAGAAATAAAAACAAAATGTGAGGGAGACCTTTGTATGCTTTTTGCCAGTGGTGTTTTGTGTCTTAAATCTCTACCATGAATGCAATTGTTGCCCACTGTCTTTATTTTTTAATTATTGAATCAGAAACACTGACCCTGACTAATGCAGCAGAGGCATGTAATGCTTTATATTAGTCAGATAAGTCCAAAACACAGCCCCTAAACTGAAATTGGAGAATGTTAGGCAGGCAGACTTACAAAGAAAAATCTTTGAAATAACACAAAAAATTAATCTTTTAATAATCATGCATTCTACTCTCCGTCTGACTTCATATTAAAAACCACAAATGTCCAGTTACTGTTCTAAAAAGCACCTAAGGGTTCACCCAATCTTGCATTTGATTAATCTATTAAACTTGAATAAATAAAGCAAATTGTAAGTGAGATCTAAATCAATTTGTTTCTGAGACTAGACAAGAAAACATGGAATCAAATGAACCTCTGCCAAAAAAAACAACAAAAACAAAACACAGACAGCTGTATGGTTTTTGTATAAAAGGCAAATTTACAAAACCCCTTTTAGTTTATGGCCTGAACTGATTTACAAATATCTTTCCTCCAAAATTACTGCATGTGTATTTTATTGTTAAATAGGTTAAAACATTATTTTTTTAAATAAAACAAATTCATATCTGGTGGCCCACAAGCACATTTGATTAGAATATTTTTCCCATGTGCAAAAAAAGCTATTGAGATTCTGGATTTTATATAACCATGTGGATGACTTGTCAGTGGTTCTGTGATGCTTTCAGAGACATGCTAACATGCTTCATGTTGTCAGACGGGTTCCATTTAAGACGATTTATTGATTCTCCAGGTTCAGGAATAATCAAACCTAAACACCTCAGGCTTGTAAAACTGAATTGTGCTTTGCAAAAGCACAACTCAGTTAGATTGCACCCGTCTCATGATTTAACAAGGGGAGGTGATCATTTAATCAACCTGATTCATTTGGGTTGGTTTTGGATAGATTTCTTAAATCTTCAATGAAATCATTGTTTGAAAACTTCCTTTGTGTTTCCACTGGATGCCTCTGATGAACTATTAGTATTTGTGTATTCATCTGAAATATGCAGCTTTGTCAAAAAATAAAGCAAAAAACAAATACTATTTCAGAGCATTATATTCCAAAGATATAAAGATAAACAGAGCCTAAATGATATCAAAATCCAAGTGTTTAGGTTAAATTACACTAAAACTATACTGTAAAAGCAAATCAAAGCACATAAACACAACCAGGTTTAAATTAAAAAGCATGCCATTTTATTTTCTACCACACTGAGGTGAAGTCGTTTGTGGCGCTACGAAGGTAGGCCCACCTTACATGCTGCTTTGTTCAGAAGAGAGAGAGACGCTGCACAAGGCACTTTAATTTCTGCCACTCTCTCAGCAGCACAGAAGACATCATCAGACAGTAAACCGAGGCCAACATGAACCACACGAGCCTGTACAGCTTTACTTTTGGTACATTCAGACGTTAAATAGAATCATATATTCATACACACACGTCCCACATTGGTAAAAATCATACTAGCAAGATATTTGTACAGATCTGCTCAAATTGAATGCAAAGAATGCAGAATTTTCTAAAAGAAAAAGACGTGCACTGATCCAAGCGCAGAGTGACCGTCATCGAGGACATTCACAGGAACAGAGCACGATAGAAATGAGGTCCAAATCAGCCACATTTTGGCATAATACCTGCCAATGAAGAACAATTCCCATTGTGTGAGGTCTGTTGGACAAAATAAACACCTTTCTCTAAGGGTGTGCATTATTATTCCCACTATCTGTAGCTATCCCATGGATAATGCTTGCAAGAGAAAAGGTAACTGAAAAATCAAGCCTCCTTCTTCTCTGTAAATTACAGCTTCACCTGATGTATTACGTTAATTTCCTTCTTTAAACCTCGAATCAGAAGTTTAAGTAGTGCATTATGAGTTTGTGAAAGATTCACCGAGGGGGAAAAAAAGGTAAGAAGCAAGCATAAACAGGGCAGTACATAAAGTGAAAATGCGGCTGTACATCATTGCGCGGTAGTGAGAGTGTGACATGACAGCAACATGGCAAATACAGAAGAGAAAATTAATGTAGTATTCAGCTCCTGCGAGACTTCGAGTGCTGGATGAGCCATTGAAGTGTGATATCTGCAATTGAGAGAAAGACACAGGCTCAGTTTTAGAAGCAAGAATTTGTGTTTTACTGTATATGTATATAAAAACATAGTTCAAATATGCAATTTTAGAGCTAGACAGCCTAAATATCTGGAAAGTATGGAAGACAAATAAATCACAACTGGCATTTTAATTGTTTTAAAAAAAAATGTATGCAATTAAGAACCTTCAGAGCCACAACTCTAAAACAGAAACACATTTCAGTTAAGGTAATTTTTGGAACTTTATAGCACTGCATCTCACTGAGAACTGCTCATTTCCAGACAACAAGATGCCTCTTTAATTTAACATGCTGACTGGATTTGTGCCCCTTACTGAGAACGCATTAACAGATGGAGTGAGCACTTCTGCATTCACTCTGTACACAGCAAAAGCTGGTACAGTTCATGGAAGCAAGTGAACAGTGAACAAATATCTCTTCTTTCCTTACCAGGATTACGAAACAACTGGAATCTTGTTTTTTTTAAGGGACGGAACAACCGAACATTGAGGGACAAAGACAACACAGGTCACACCACCAGATGATCAAGGAGACTACAAGCGCTCTTTGTAAGCATCAAATTTCTCAAGTCAGAAAATGTGTTGTTTTTACTGGGTTACTTTTTTATGTGTCCTCTATCAATAAGAATACTTCTGTTATTTCAAGTTAAATCAATCACCATTTTCTCCAAACATTGCTCCTTCATGTTTACCTCTGATAATTAGCTACAGCAGCAACTCTTTTTCCCGCAATGCTTGAGCCAAATGAATAATAGCATATCAATACTTTGACTTCCCTTCCATTCACTACAACAGTAGCATGAGGTTAAAGTGACTTTTTAAGGATAATAATTACATGCTTGAAAAACTAACTGCAGACAGATTTTTAAAGTACAAGAGTCTAGACCAGGAGTCTTCAAATCCAGTGTCCTGCAGCTTCCTAGTCCAACACACCTGAATCAAATGGCTGAATTACCTCCTCAGAAAGCAGTCTAGTTCTTCAGCATCATTTTAATGACCTCATTATTTGGGTAAGGTGTGCTGATGACACATCTAAGGTCTTATGAACATGAGACGAACACAGTATGTTTTTGCAAACAGTTAAGAAAAATGTGCATCCACACTGTAATGTGTAGCACCGAATAAAATGATGAAGTTGATATTCTGGACCAATTGGTGAAGCTCTACCACTGCTATAGAAACACAAAAAAAACACAATATTTGTGAAAGTGAGCCACATGGGGGATCGAGAGAAATGCAGCTTCAGCATCATCATTTAAGAAAAAAAAAAAAAAAGAAAGAAAAGAAAAAAGAAGTGGCTCGCAGGAACACATAAAACCAGCGTTCTGAAAATTATCCACTCTGGAATCCGGTTTCAAAAATGATCATTTTTGGCCTTCCAAGATGCCAAATCTGTGCTGACATAAAGCCTAAATGACAAAAACATTTTCCACTTTGAACTCCTCTGATCTAGCCTGTCCTCAGCGCACAATACTGTGGAACAGTTAAAGCTTGACAAAAAAAAAAGCAAATTATCTATATGTATGAAAATGATACTTTCAGCTGCTGCATCATTCAATAGAACAATACTACGGAAATTAAGTGCAACTTGCCAATGTTGTCTTTCTCTTTGCAGGAAATGGAGTAGCAGCAAATCTCTCTGTCCTGAATAGCTGCAAGGTTCCTGCAAATGGAAACAAGGGTGTGAACATATATGACAAACACATCCTCTCCTCAGTTTATTCGTTGTCTGGGAGCTGCATGCATACTTTGAACTTGACACTAGATGGAGCTAGTAATGCACAAAAGATAACAGCTGCAATTTAAAAGAAATGTGGATGAGGAACTTAGGCAGACCTGTCAGCAGGACAGAAATGTTTGAAATGAACTTAAAAAAACAATCATAATTGGGCAAAGTATTAAACAGTTAAAACACTCTAATCTGCAGGTTTTCAGCTGAATCAATTTCAGACTTTTGCACATTTTTTTGTATTATTCATACCCACATTTTCTCAATGAGCTGCTTTTCATCTAAAGCGTTGGGGAGATCCCTTTTGTTGCCAAGAACCAAAACCTGAACAGAGAAAGGAGAAAAACAACATTACTACTGCAGAGTGAAACTGCAGGGATTAATCTGAATAAAGCCACAAAGTTTTCCGTAACTGGTATGGAAATTACATATATCTGCAGAACTGCTTACAGGGAGACACTTACAGGAATTCCTTGCAACTGAGGTTTGTCTAATAAGTTATGAAGCTCATTCCTGGAGGCCTCCACCTTTTCTCGATCTGCAGCGTCAACCATGTACCTTCAGTTTCGTACGTATAAAAAAAAAAACTGCTTTAGTCATCATTAGCAAGAAAGTAACACATTTGTGTCAGTCAAGCTGCCCCTAATTTAACTAAAACCAGAGGAACTGTTTGGG